TTTTCGTAAAATAATAGAGGGCGCTGTCAGCGCATTGCCCCCATCGAAATCGGTAGACGTTTGTTTACAATCGTTGAATCTGTCACTTGCTATCTTCCTATAAAGATCGAATCATTCTGCTACTTTTAATGCTGTAAGTGAGCTAATAATTTTACACAATAATCTTGGGTATTCTTTTTTGTTGTGAGCTGCTGAAACGTAATTTGATATGTCGCAAAACTCTCACGAAAGTGTTTTGTCCCGGCTGTATATCGGTCACCAAATGCCACAAAGCATCACTGTTTAAGTTCCCAAAGACGAAAATCTTCGTCGAGAATGGGCGAAAAGAATCTCAGAGGAGATACAGAACTATCGATTCACCACATTGTGTGAACTGCATTTTGAAGAACATTTTATTGAGAAATATTATCATCATATTGTTAACGGTGAGGAAATAAAAATTCCAAGAGGTAAACCACTGCTTAAACCTGAAGCAATACTAGCATTTTCGAATGCTCCAAAGTTTTCAATAAACCTCTACCACAAAAAAGGAAAGTCAGAAATAATATAACAACTGTGACAAAAAAACATGTATGAATAAAGAAATATTAGTATTTCAACATCCCTGTTAAAAGAACGTAGCGATAAGTGATGTAAAGACTGTCCAGTTACCTTCTCATTTTGGTCAAAATTAAAAATCAAAAGCTGTCCTCAATCCATAGTATTCTTAAATCTGATTTGTAATGAAAATTTTCTGTACCCTTTAGTCAGAAAATTAGTCAGTATCATTGAAAAAAATATGAATTCTTGCAGATGTTTCATGTGTGGCCAAAAAACCCAATCTGTTACTTTTAATCTGTGAGCGGCTGGTAATTTTACTGAATAATGTGGAGGCAATATCTGTCGCAGTGGAGTTGAACCATTTTGGGAATATAATCAGCACTATCATAAAAATGTAAATATTATGCATGTCAGATGTACGTAAAAGTTTGCAATTAAATTAATGAGTCTGCAACATGTTGTGCATTGTAATATGTAAATAGATTATGAAAAGAAAAATTGTAACAATAATTTTTGAAATCAAAATAAGCAATAATAGAAAAAAACAATTGATATGTTGTTTAAGAAAAAAAATTACGATTTCCTTAAACTGAGGAACAAAAAACAAATGAAATGGGCACTTCTGTGTGCTCAATCCGAAGCAATTACTTGCTATAATGCTTTTAATAATGCCTCCAAACGTAAAAGTACTCAAGTATGATTTATGATCCAAAATGGTTAATGAATGTATAATAATAGAATGAGGACAAACTTATGACCATATCCGTAAAATAAATTCTGATGTGCTGGAAAGAACTGCTCAAAGATATGTTAAAAATTACGCGTGGATTTGGTTTCTGATTCTGTTTTTCAGCAATCAAAATAAACTCAAAGTATGGAACCTTTTCATTTATTTAGTATGCTTCAGGTTTATGTAATGATTTGCCTCATAAAATTTTGTTTCCTCAACTCTGACAGTATGGCTGTAAAATGTATCAATAAAATGCTCTTCGAAATGCAGTTTGCACATACAATCATGATTTGATATCTCTGTATTCCCTCAAAATTCTTTTTTTCATTAATTAGAATAAAATTTAGAAGCTTTAAACAGTGACTCTCTTGTGGCATCTTATTGTCCACATGTGCAACTAACTATAAAAAAACTTTCAAAATAAATTTAGGGTTACATCAAGGTAAAGTATCTCTTTTATTTTTTTCACCAAATAAATGGATTTTTTATATATGTGTGTGTGTGTGTGTATTGTCATTTCTCTCATTTCATTCATATATAATTTAATAATGTTTTGAAATCTAATTTGCACATTATTTGACTACATTCAAACAATAAAAATTTGACATTGCTAATTTTGCTTTAAGTTAACCAGATCAGATGTAATAATTTTCATTATCATTTCGAAATGAAAATTAGGTTGTTTGATTAAGGCAAAACATATGCACTACATAAATTAAACTAAGAAGAATAATGTTTTCATGGAGTACATTTTAGGGTGCCAATTCATTTCTCAAATATTATTAAATCAAACTGCCTTACTTTCATGATTCAGTTTGATTTAATAATATTTATAAGTATATACATTGCTATAATGATGTAGAAGTCATGTAAAATTTTCTATTCTAAAGTGATGATAAAATCAAAAAGCCTCTAAGAACCATGAAATTAAGGTAAAAATACATTTTTTATAACAAATACATAGATTTTATATATGCATTTTCATTTTTCTCACTTTCATTTCATTCATACGATAGCGCTTTGACATTTGTTGTAAAATTTAATTTATATATAAGTTGCCTGCATTTCAAATGCAGTTCGACAATAAAAATTAGCATTACTTATTTTGCTTTTAAATTAATTAGCATCTGAGATATGATAATTTATGTTATAACTTAGAAATTATTAATTTAGGTTGTTTAATTTAGGCAAAGCACATGAAAGTTATCTGCTTAAGAGGAGGTTTTATATTTGGCTTTTGTAGAAGGCTTTTGAAGGGAAACTGACTGAGATTCACATTAGGTTTGGGGGGAAACCATACAAAATCACATGCAACCAGCCTGTTTGCTAGGAATGATTACAGGTTAACCAGTGTCCAAGAATTTTACCTAACCTCTTAATATTGGTGGCCCTCAAATGATCAAAGATTGTTTCACACTTCTTCTGTGCACTTAATTCAGACATTATCTATCAGTAAAACCAGGTAAATATTAAAAGATAATGCAAGAAAACCTGAGTAGTAAAAATGTAGAGCTCTAAATGTTCACAAATTTGAATTAAAATTGTCTAAATTTTTATGGTTTTTATAGATCCATTCAGTTTTAAGTGATATATCATAGTTTCATATTAACATACTTGTACAAAAATAAATAAATAATCATACAAGATGAGCATTAAAAATATATAATTTCTGTAATATATGCAAGCAAAAAAAAAAAAAAAAAAAAAAAACTTCTGTAGGCCTCTTAAAGGCGCCATGAAATTAAATAAATATATTTCTTAACAAAAGATGAGAAAAATTTCGTGTGAAATATGTTAATTTAGACCTTTAAACATAATTGAAATTGCAGTAAACGTCTCGGATTTATGGGGCACATGTGATCACAGCGCCATCTAACGGAATGTCGAAACTCGATTACGAAAAATAGCGCCGATAATTCCACTATATCTTCTAGTACACTATAACCGCATCATTCGTATTCGTATAGCAACCGCATGATTCGGACTCGGAGGGCGCTGCGATCACGAAAGCTGGAGGCAGTGTCTAAACATAGCTCCGAAATTTTTTAAATAACTGTTTCAGTAAATATTTTCAACTCTCTAAAAAGTTTAATTCACCTTTCCTATGCAATGTCTCATTCATCAAATTGAAAAAGGAAACTTCGCTTCTTCGAAACTTCAGATGTTTTGTTAGCTGTTTACTATCAACACGAGAAATCCAAAAGAGGCCCTGACATGGAATATTCAGATAAGTAACATTCTGTTCTTTATACAATATATGTTTCTCTATCACTAGAGTGCAATTAAATTTCTTATTTATTATTTTTCATATGATTCTAGCATTATACAATAGTTGGTATAGTAGCAGGTCGTGTGGTTCTTTCTTCGTAAAACTATTCCGTAGAGACGCCACATTCCTTATCAGTAGTCCGTTCTTATCAGCAATTCACACCCTTAGGAGGCCCCCCTCTTCGTGCTTAGGAATTTCTTGAGAGAGGAAAAAATGCGGATCTCTTGACCATCGATGAGTATAGATTGTGATTTTTGTAACTAAGATCCCCGACCTTTTTTTTTTTTTTCAGGTATCAAACTTAGAATTATGATCAAATATAAATACAGGGTGACGGAATTTATTAACTTGTACTATAATAAATTACAACTGTTAAATTAATAAATTAATTTTATATTTAACTAATATTTAAGAAAAATAAACTGTATAATTTATTTTTGTTGAATGCTCTCACACTGTGTATGGATTTATGATTTTGTCAATTACTGTTTTTCTGAAATATACATGAATTTTTTGGGACGGTAATATTTAATGTTACTTTAGTTAAAAATTTGTGACGACATATGTCTTTTCTAGTTAGGTCTCAAGATAAGGGCATACACATTACCATGTAGGAATTCATTCGTTTTTTTTTTTTTTTTTTTTATTAACTTAGCTAAAGTTTGCTTCTTAAAGACACTAATTTTTGCAGATGAACTCCTTAACTACACTCATGGACACAATCGTATTTTACGATATTTTCTACTTCTTTTCCTTTTCTTTCTTTAGGCCCTTTCTTTTTTTTTTTCCTCTCTATTATTTTTGGGCCATTTATTTTAAATTTTATTTTGTCCCATCTTTTATTTCTGGTCTTTTGAACTCGTAAAAAATGTACGAAGTTCCTTTTTTACGAGTTCAAAAGGCCAGAATACGAAAAACGTTCAAAGGCCTCAAATACGAAATTGCCCCCCTTTCTATATACCTTTCCTTCGCACCTATGCTTGATTTTTCGCCCATCGGTGCAGAAAGACTTAGCGGATGCAAAACAAGACATCTGTCTACTTTGTCTGTCTGTCATTCGGACTCGAATAAAGCGCATCGTACGACAGATGCGAGTAACGAACAGATGCGTGTAACGAAATGAATTTGTGAGTACCGATTCGGTACTTCGAGTCAACCGATGTACCCGTTACTCAGTAACGAATACATGCGGTTTGCTCCAGCTCTACAAGATGGCCTTTTGAACAAACCATGGAGGTAAGAAAGGTTCGATACCCTTGATACAGTATTCGCTACTTATATTTTATGTTCCAAACGCCAAAATGTTTTAAATAAAATAAATTTCTTTCACATCCACATATTATTGTAACATGTACTTTTTAAAATTAGTGTAAATTACTTTAGTCGAAAAATACAGTGAATGCACAGAAATTAGATTTCCACATGCCGGAAATGAAAAATATGAAGTATGTATGGGTATTTATGCATGTACTTCCAAAAAGCATGTATCTGCCTTTAACAAAATACGTAAATATTTATTAAATTATTTATAAATGTATTTGAAATGAAGGGTTTATTCATTCATAAATAACTGTGAAGAAATCTAAATTTATAATGATTATAAATATTATCTAAATATATAATAACCATCTTGACATTAAATTGTAAACATAAATTGACATCTTGTAGACAAATACGTTATAAAACTATTTAAGCAAGAATTGTTCGTACTGGAAAGCTATCTGTTAAAAGGTATTGTAAAGCAATTTCTAGGAGATGCGCACTTAAGAAAGTAATAAAGAAGAGTTTTGGAATATGTATTGTTGAAATTAAGGGTTAAAAAAATCTAATAAGTATAATTAAAAGAATTATTCCCCTTACATTTTATAATAAGTCAGTTACAAGTTTTAAATAATATTTAAAAAATAATCCTTATTTTATTCCCTTTCAGAAATATTCAGAGAAAGTTAAGTACTATTTAAAGTATTTCGCTATTAAATTAAAAGGTGCTCTAATTTGAAATGGACCGAATAGAGCATTAATTATAAATTGACTTGGATTTTTCCATTTAAAAGATGCCTCAGAAGCTAAAAAATCATGTCATGTTTGAGAAAGTACTTTAGAAAGAAGCTCTATAAATAGAGAAGAAATAATGCATAATTTTAATATTAATAATACAACAATCTTAATTTTTGTAATCCTTAACCGAATAAAATCGAATTACCTTAAATTTTTTTTCTAATGTAATTAATGAAAAATTAAATATTTCATTCAAATTACTAAACCATTCTCAGCAAACTGTTCTGTGAAAATTATAGCATTTGATTCCGTTCAGAATGAAATGTTCTTTAAAAATGTGTTCTTTTCCCATACTTAGGACTCTCAAGTATTGTAGAAAAAGGAAATATAAAAAATATTTACATCAGATCGTGTCAAAACCCATTAAACTCAATGGTAAATTACCCAATGTTTTGGTCACCAATGAAGGGATCGCCAGTGCTTCAAAGCAGGGTATGGGAAAACCGGTTTAGGGCCACTCCATCTCACTTCCTACCTCCATGGAACAAACGGAGAGGAAAAATTCCTTCACTTGTAATAACTTCAATATACATGAATTTTTTGGGAACGGCAATAGTTAATGTTACTTTAGTTAAAATATTTGTGACGACATATGTCTTTTCTAGTTAGGTCTCAAGATAAGGGCATACACATTACCATGTAGGAATTCATTCGTTTTTTTTTTTTTTTTTTTTTATTAAACTTAGCTAAAGTTTGCTTCTTAAAGACACTAATTTTTGCAGATGAACTCCTTAACTACACTCATGGACACAATCGTTATTTTACGATATTTTCTACTTCTTTTCCTTTTCTTTCTTTAGGCCCTTTCTTTTTTTTTTTCCTCTCTATTATTTTTGGGCCATTTATTTTAAATTTTATTTTGTCCCATCTTTTATTTCTGGTCTTTTGAACTCGTAAAAAATGTACGAAGTTCCTTTTTTACGAGTTCAAAAGGCCAGAATACGAAAAACGTTCAAAGGGCCTCAAATACGAAATTGCCCCCCTTTCTATATACCTTTCCTTCGCACCTATGCTTGATTTTTCGCCCATCGGTGCAGAAAGACTTAGCGGATGCAAAACAAGGTTCCCTCCTGACCCTGATAAAAAGACCTCTTTTATCACTTTGTCCATTGGAGTTACCTTCGAGGCTGCAACCGCAACCATTAACAAAGGCCCCTCATTGCACATGGATTTCAGCCCTGGAAATGGTAGTACTGCAATCTGAAATCATTCATCCTACACAAAGAACCTCCATGATACCTTATCACAGTGCTTTTGAAATTACGTCCTAGCCATACATACGTACTAAGTACACTTTTTTTTAAGTCATATTTCTTTTTTAGTTTGCTTACACACTTGCTGATCATTTGCCGAATTTGAAATGTGTACCTCACATAAATTTAGAGCTGTTTAAAATTCCATCGGAATATTATTATTATTTGCAAAATTTTAGTTTAAAATTCATTCGCTTAATTTTAAATATATTTTAAGTAGCTATTCTATATATAACATTACAATAATTTGTTATACCATGTATTTATGAGGAATCAGTGAAAAAGGTACTTATAAATTACGAACATCTTGTCCATTGACGGCATCAATCATTGGAAGCTAAATCTAAAGTAATTTTTGATATTTAAATTTTTATTGCGAGTAAACCAACCGCACATTCTAACATTGTGACTTGATTTTTGCTGGTACAGACTTTGCAAAACTTATTTAACTCCTTCACAGCCAATCCGCCCGACACAGCTCTACATTGAAACGACCAGAACCGCCCGAAAACGGCCGAGATTGCAATCTTGTTTCCTTCCCTCCCGTAAGGTATTCAGTAGCAGGTGCAATCTCCTCAATGCTTTGTATCAGTTCACTGCAGACAGCTTGTCCTAAGAGGTTTGTTATCCTGGGTAGTTTATTGTTGATTCTTTTTTGGTAGAGTGTGCTTTTAATCAAAATGCGCAAATATCGCAAAGTTTTAACTCAACAAGGAATTGAGACTATTCTTTTTAATGATACAGATTTGGAATCAGAAGACAGCGATAGGAAAGAAATAGAAAATGAAATAAATGATAATGAAGAAGAATCATTTATAGCAGAAGATGAAGATGAGCATAGAACAAATCTGGAAGCAGATGTTTCAGAAAATTGTTAACGAAAAATCCAGTAAAAACCTGGTCTTACTAAGGTTAATAATGATGCCGTAATTTTGTCCGTCTCTATTTAACAGCTTTTCGGGACCAATTCATAATTTACCTGTTGGTGCATCACCTTTATAATATGTAAAGTTGTTTATTACGGATGAAATTTGTGAATTAATTCTCACAAATACAAATAAATATGCTGAATTCTGTGCAAGAAAGCGTGGCACTGTTGATCGTCAATGGGAAAAAATTTCATTCATAAAAGAAATATGGGCATTCATTACAGTCCTTCTCATAATGAGTGTTGTAAAATTACCAAGAATAAGTGATTATTGGTCAAATAACCGCAATGCTTGGAAATGAAATGGTGAAGAAAATGATGAGCAGAAAGAGATTTTTGGAAATCAAGCATTATTTTCATTTGTCTGATAGGGAAACTGAAGTTAAAAATAGCGAAGAGAACTTTACATATGCACAAAAATTAGAGCCTGTCATTTCATATTTCAGAAACAAATTTCAGCAACATTTTGCGCCTTATGCTGAAGTATCAATTGACGAAGCGCTAATTAAATTTAAAGGTAGATTAGGGATCGTGCAATATATGCCTAAGAAACCGACAGATTTTTCACCAGCGTAGACTTGATGTCCGAGTTATATAAATCTGGACAATTGTCATGTGGAACTGTGATGACAAATCAGAAAAACTGCCCGAGAACATCAAGCAAATGAAGGTGGGAAATCAATACGACAGCTAAGTTATGCAATGCAAAAGCCTGCCGAATTGACTTTATTCATCATGGCTTTATAAAAAATTGATACATATCATTTCCACAAACTGTAAAAATGAACCGTGTTTTAATACAAAAAGAAAAGGCTCTGAAAAAAGTGTAGTACCATGTCCACTCGCATTTGTCAAGTACAATAAAAATATGGGAGGTGTAGATTTAGCAGATCAGCGTCGAAAATATTACTGAGCTTCTAAAATATCCTCGAAATGGTGGACGTACATATTTTGGTTCCTTTTAGACACAGCAGTGAATAACGTTTTTATAGTTCATAGAGTCACTAACTATCCAATCCTAAAGCGACCACAGCAGCTATATGACTTCAAATTAGAACTGATTGAAGAATCCGCTTCGCAAAATTCGTTTCGTAAACGAACCTCAGGCATGTTTTCGCCTAGTGCATTTCATGATCACAAACGTCGAAAAATTAATGATCGTAAACGCACTTGTGTTCGATGTAAAGAAATAGGAAAAAAGACAAACACGGAGAGGTATATTGAAAGTTCTTGGGAGTGTGATATATGCAGAATGTGCTTGTGCAAAACATGCTTTTAGGCTTCGAATTTCAGTTACAAAAATTCTAAAAAAAGGCTCTTTTCTGGGCTGCAAAAGGCCCTTTTCAGGGCCATACAATTTCAGGTACAGTTCTCTTATTAAGACGGGATTCAGAAATGTATGGATGCATGTGTGTGACACACGTAAAGTTGAAAGCCTTGTGAACTTTCTTCTTCTTGTTGCTTTATTTATACAAGATAATCTATACTGTACAATGGTTCTATCTATAACACATTTTATTTCTCTGTATAACATTGTAATTTGTAATTTACTACTCTTGGTATTCTGAATAACTATTTATAAGAAATTACTCTTGGTATCATAAAAATTTCTAAAACTATTAATCTCAATGTTTTTGAAGGAGATAGTTTTTTTTTCCCCTCCTTGAATTTTGCATTTACGGTAAAAAGAATTTTAAATGCGAGTTTAATGCAAGACATACAAAAGTGTCATCAATTATGATAAAGCAGAATTTATTTTACTCAGTGTAAATGACAGCACATGTCTTATAACTCACAGGTAACCAGTGGCTGAGTGGTTAAAAAATCACTGAATACGGGCAGTTCCTATTCGATTTTCAGAAGAATTGGGTTGGCTGCATGGGTGTTTTTCATGGTTTTCCCTACCTGTACCATGTATATGAGCTAATTTCCCCGAGAAAGTCCTCCACGAAGGCATCCTCCCCTTAGAAAGAGAACCCTAGTTTGCTTTGCAATAA